AGAGGTCTCAGCCCCATCCCAGGGTCCCAGAGCTGGGAAAATAAGTCCTTACAGGCAGTAAGAACTACAGGCTGTAAAAACCAGGGCGGATTGGTGCTCAGTGACACAGAGGCTGCTGGAGACCCAGCTGTTCCTCTTAAAAGGCCAGCACCACGAACTGACCTTACAAGGTCCCACTTCCTCTGAGCTCCAGCACCAGGGCAAGGCTCTGGGGAACGCAGACACATACAAGGAGGAACTGTACTGTCTGGCATCAGGGCAGGAACTTGGGGGCAGCTTTCTCCCAGACAGAGGTGCTTGAAGGGACCATTGTTCCTACGTTGGGACCTCCCTGGTTGCAGGGCTAACTGGCAGCCATTTCTGTTTGCTCCACCCAGGTGATTCTGAGACCTCACCCCATCCAATTTGCAGCCCCACACAACCTGTGTGCAGAGGCTTTTGCATATGAATGGCCTGTCCTTGCTCAGGCTAAAATCAAACAAGCTGCAGCTGGGTCAGGGAGCCCCAAACCTATCAATAAAAGGCCCAAGACCTGGCACCAGGACCAGCCTGCCTTGCTTCATAGCTGGACCTCCTCTGGGCACTTCCAAACCTGATACAAAGAGGAGGAATCTGCAGATCTCTCTGTAGCTCCTGCTGGGTGGTCCCAGACAGTGGCTGAATTTGCATCTCCCTGGAGACCCAAGAGCCAGTGTATCCAGTGGTCAGTGTCAGACCATACCAGATTACAACTCTACACATCCAGAAGTGACACACTCAAGGGGAAGACTCAGTGAGCACCAAAACCCCACTGAAGCAAGTCCTGCTCCATAGGGGTGTCTCCTGCACAGCAGCTCTCCCATGGCAGTCGCAGCTGGTCCTCACAGCCAATTGGCCTGGAGGTCAATTCCTTCCAGTGACACCAAAACCCTGTGAAAGGTCGTTCGACCACAAAAGGGATTGTGACCCACAGGTTGAGAACTGCTGCTTTAGAAACCTCCAAAAAAAAAAAAATAGAAAAGGACCAGTCAGAAAGTAAGCATACACTAACTGACTGAAATAAAGAATAAAATACAGGGATTCAACAGTAGAGTAGAGATTCTGAGAATCAAATCAACAAGTTGAAACATGAGAAAGCAAAAAACACCCAATCAGATGAGCAACATGCAGAATGGTCTTAGGCGAACCCTGTGAAAGGTCGTTCGACCACAAAAGGGATTGTGACCCACAGGTTGAGAACTGCTGCTTTAGAAACCTCCAAAAAAAAAAAAATAGAAAAGGACCAGTCAGAAAGTAAGCATACACTAACTGACTGAAATAAAGAATAAAATACAGGGATTCAACAGTAGAGTAGAGATTCTGAGAATCAAATCAACAAGTTGAAACATGAGAAAGCAAAAAACACCCAATCAGATGAGCAACAAGAAAAGAGAATCCAAAAATAAGAAGATAGTGTAAGGAGCCTCTGGGACAACTTCAAGCATTTTAACATTCACATTATTGGGGTGCCAGAAGAAGAGAGAGAGCAAGATACTGAAAACCTATTTGAAGAAATAATGACAGAAAACTTCCTCTACCTGGTCAAAGAAATAGACTTAAAGTCCAGGAAGCACAGAGAGTCCCCAACAAGTGGAACCCAAAGAGGACCACACCAAGACACATCATAATTAAAATGCCAAGGGCTAAAGACAAAGAGAGAATCTTAAAAGCAGCAAGAAAAAAAGCAATTAGTTACCCACAAGGGAATGCCCATACTACTGTCCACTGATTTCTCAACAGAAACTATGCAGGCCAGAAGAGAGTGGCAAGAAATATTCAAAGTTATGAATAGCAAGGACCTACAACCAAGATTATTCGCCCCAGCAAAGCTATCATTTAGAATTGAAGGTCAGATAAAGAGCTTCATGGACAAGAAAAAGCTAAAGGAGTTCATCACCACCAAACCAGGATTATAAGAAATGCTGAAGGGTATTCTTTAAGAAGAGGAAGAAGAAGAAAAAGATCAGAAATATGAACAACAAAATGGCAATAAACACATACCTATCAACAACTGAATCTAAAAATCAAAATAAGCCCTAACCGGTTTGGCTCAGTGGATAGAGCGTCGGTCTGCGGACTGAAGGATCCCATGATAGATTCCGGTCAAGAGCATGTACCTTGGTTGCGGGCACATATCCAGTAAGGAGTGTGCAGGAGGCAGCTGATCGATGTTTCTAACTCTCTATCCCTCTCCCTTCCTCTCTGTAAAAAATCAATAAAATATATTTTTACGAAAAAAAATAAAAATAATAAATGAGTAAGAAATCTAATGAACAGAATAAACTGGTGAATAAAACAGAATCAGAGGCATGGAAATGAAACAGACTGATGATTCTCAGAGGGATGAGGGATGGGTAGGGGCGGGAAAGACTAAACAAAGATCTTATATGCATATATGCATTACCATATATGGATACAGACAATAGGTTGGTGGAGGCTAGGGGTGAGGGGGGGAACTGGGTAGAAGGGGACAATGGGGGGAAAAAGAGGGACATTTGTAATAATCTCAACAATAAAGATTAAAAAATAATTAAAAAAATAAAAATAAAAGTTCAAGACTTTTTTAAAAAAAAACATGGTAAGCCTTACATAAATAGAGTAGGCCTATGTGTCTCCTAGCTGTCAACTGAGGTATATTCAACTGCCAATGGCAGCATGTGAAAAACACACTCATGCTCTCTCCCCCAAAACCTCCTTCCTGCCATCATTTGTAAGTGATGACACTTCCATGCCACCGTTTTGTTCCCCACCCCCAACATCCTATGGAGTCTCTCCATTATCTACTACCTTCGGCCACCGTCAGCTTTCCAAACTGATCCGCCTGCATCCTGTTAGTCTCTGTCATGCAGGCACAGAGGGATCTTTCCAGAGTTCAAAGCCAATCAGACCCCTTTCTTGCTTAAAACTCTTCAATGGTTCCCGTCCTTTCACAATAAGGTTTGAGCTCCTTCACCAGCACATAATCCTCCATGACCCGACCTCCAAGCATCACTTGAG